GGGTGTGAGAGACCCTATCTCAAAAAATTCCTTCACAAAAATAGGGCTGGTGGAGTTGCTCAAGGTGTTGGTCCTGAGTTCAAACCCCAGTACCACAAAAACAAACAAATGAACAAAGTGTTCTTATCTGTGGTAGCCAACCTTGCACCCTGCTTTTTTGGTACTTGAAAGATAGTCAAACACTTGTCTCTCTGATGGGCTGTGCTATCATTCCTCCTGTCTTCTAGCACCTCAGGTAAGTCCTGTATCTTAGAGGCTCAGGGGGACCAAAATGGAAATGTATCAGGTTTTCCTTTTCTCAAATTCCAGGAACTTTGCAAATGACTGCATTGGGAGGTGAAGTGAGGGGAATAACCATTATGCTTCCCGGAAATTCACTCAATAAATATTTATTGAGCATTTAACTACATGCCAGACACTATTCTGGGCTGTTAAAACACATTTGTGAATAACCCAAACAAAAATTCATAGAGCTTAAAATTTTGGACAGTGTCTCCTTCAATTCGCCTTTCTAGACTGTATATGTAACTATGTGTTGTGTGGCATGTTAAAGGCATTGTGGTGTTGCACTGCTGAGTGTGCTGAAATGCCTTCTCTCAGCCAATCCCAAAAGAAAAGAGAAAGTTTCCATACATCAAGATTTAGTGAATTTAAAATGCAGTGGATTTACTGCTTTATTGTCTCAGCTATGAACTGTAGTTACCAATTTAACAGGAAAGACTCTCTTGACAGACTTTGCTATCATGTTAAATATAAGAAAATAGTAGACTGGAGAAGAAATACATTCCAGAGTCTTTGGGATAGCTCCCATAAATTCCAGGCTGAGGATTGAGGTGATTATTAGTGGACAGAAGGCTGGTTCACTAAATAGATCCATAAAGTGGAAAATCGTAAGTTATTTTTCCTTTCCTTTTTAAAGTGTATGCCTATAAATGTGTGTGGTAAGCATTTTAAAACATATTTCCAGACAAGAACATTTGACTTCAGCTTTTATTGTTATGTGCATTTTCTTTATGTTTTCCAGTTCAACATTTCAGGAGAAAATATCCAATCACTCACATTGCATCTTTCCATACCAGGCACTGTCTTGTCCAGTCAGATGTGATTGTGAGAGAAGGAAGTAGGCCACAGGCCTACTTAGGGCATCTCCTTCAAACCAGGTTTATGGAAGGGTCTCTTCACTTTGAAGGGGCTCTGAACTAGCAGAGACACAAATGACTGGTCAAAATTACTATGAGCACTTGACTCATATTTCTCTTAATGTAGTTCTGATACACACTATGCTTTACTAAAAGAAAAAAATTTCACTTCTTTTCCATTTCAAGCTGAAAAGTTTGGGTCTCTTCTAAAAACTGGTTCAAGGTCTTGTAAATGGTAAATTCATTTTCAGGTCACTATGTGGTTTTAAGAGGTATATGAGTCAGGAGATTCTCATTTGTTGAGTTTAAGAATGTGAAGTACTAACTCTTGTTATGTAGACTTATAGATTGTGAAGGGGTTCGAAGAGTCTGTGGTTTTGGTTTTGCATTTATATGAGTCTGTGTGTACCTGCCAGAGCTGTGGGAGGTCAAGACAGGGTCTGCAACTTGAGTGATTTAGTTTACTTTATGTTTCTGCTGAGAACAAGAGATAGACTAGCCCTCTAGGATGCCTCAGGAAAGTCTTTTGGAAAAGTAAATGGTAGATTATTTCAGAGCCTTTTCCAACTGCTCAGATTCAATGGGGGGAAATATGAGGGTTCGAATATGTTTTAAGCACTGGTTCAGTTAAGGCCCTGAACTCTTAGATTCAGAGTCTCTCAGAAGGTTTTGTTTGGTCTGTATGTATTTTCCCTTTGTGGTTGCTATTTGCTTTAATTACCATCTAAAAGTCAGGCTATTTCAAACTCCCCAAATTTCACATTTCCAGCTTCATTTGGAAGTTCTGGACCTTCTGGATTTGTGTTCTTTTATGGTCACCATTGGCTAAGTGCATGATTTGCTGCCCATTTATTTTATCTATCTGTCTATCATCTATCTATCTATCTGTCTGTCTATCTATTGGTGGTACTAGGATTTGAACTCAGAGTTTCGTACTTGGAAAGCAGGTACTCTACTCCTTGAGCCAAACCTCCAGTTTATTTTGCTCAGTTGTTTTGGAGAGGGTGTTCTTTTTTGATATTTGTGCAGGCTACCCTTGAACTGAAAGCCTTCCAATCTCAGTTTCCCAAGTAGCTAGGATTACAGGCAGAAACCACCAACATGAGGCTACTTTTTGCCTTTTTAAATGGGCCAGCAGCAAGTGCTCTCTTGATTTCTTCAGTGACACTCCACCAGCTTCATTCCTTTGCATAGTGAAGAAAAAAAAAATCAAAACAACTTTAGCTTATCATAGTGGCTAGCCTCAGTCTCTATGAACACATATTAGTAGCTATTTTCATTGATATCATCAACATTATCTTCATATACCCAAGATTGAGTCATAGAAGATGTTGTAAATAGGTACACACATATATATACATAATATCCCTTTCAATATAAGAGATTATTTCATTCCCTTTAGTAATTTCTCAAAATATTTATACCCCATGCCTCAATAGTTATTCCTTTTGTGTACACTCAATACTGCTGCCATCAGAGCTTATTTTCTCATTCTTTTTTTTAGACTTAGTTGTCTTTTCATGTATAATTCTTTTATTTCAGTTTCTATATTTTAGTATTCTACCAGCTATTCACCTCTTTTTAATGCTTTTTCTAGACTTTGTTAATATAGACACTTGGGGAAAAGATTATAAAATTTTAGAAGTAAGTCTAGTTATTATTGCAGATATGTAAGGGAAAAACTTGGTTTATTTTTGTGCTGGGGATCAAACCAGGGGCCTCATGTATCTAAGCAAGTGCTCTATCACTGAGCTATACCCCCACCTGGGAAAACTTTCAGTGAAAGTACTTTAATGTTTTCAATCGAATTTTATGGTTTTGTCTTCTCTTTACTGTAATGTTCTTGGTGATTCCTACAGAACACAGGATAATGGCAATAATAATGTCCTATAAGAGCCTCCCTTCATGTACAATTTTATGTACAAGGAGTTAGTAGTCTAATTTCTTTTACTCTAGAAAAAATTAAAGTACACTACTATTTTCTAACCATCTGTTAGAACTGTACTTTATTAAACCTTGATAACTGCTGCTATAAACTTACAATATTCTTGTAAAAGTGATAAAAGCAAGTCTATCATCTAATTTTAGATTATGTATAAATTAGTAAATATTTTGAAGATAAGAAAAGGTAGTTTAAGTCAAAGATATCTTTGTATAGATTAAAAGTTTTCTTCCCTGAAAGAATGGTGAGTTTGAGAATGTAGCTGTACTTCAAAAATTCATACCAGTGTTTTAGAATCCCTTTTTTTTTTTTTTATTAGAGACAGAAACAGTAATTTTGCCAGCAGGATGTACATGTGCTCTCAATATAAATTTATCACTCAATGGATTGTTGTCCACTGCAACATTTTGGATCTCAGGTTTAAATCCAAATGAGAAATGCAAAGCATCCAGTCCCTGATGATTCATTTATGTCTGGTTCAACTAGATGAAAGTTGTCATGGGTTGGAAGAGATCTGCTCCTCCTGGCTGGCTCTGTGCTGCTTTCAGTGCCCCAAGGAACTCTGCTAGGCAGCTGTGCCCTTGTCGGTCAGGCTGCTGGGCAGGAGTTGATGCTCACAGCTCCACTAACCAAGGCTGCTTTACTGAAGCTCACTGGGCGCCCGTCAATCACAAAGTGGCGGATGCAGCCTGTGAAGGGTTTGCCCGGAGCCAAGCGTGGTGTCAGCAGAGACTCTGGAAAGAGAAAAAAAAAAAAGGAAAAATTGGGGGGCATTCCAAGCCCAAATATTACTTCCTGGTAAAAAAAAATAATTGTCCAATCATCAAAAAATGTTTTACATATCAACAATGGAATAGAGTTGTAATTGACTCTAAGAACATCATCTGCTTCTGAAATAATATGAACATATGGCAATTTTAATGTTTTGCAATGTTTTCCAGGATCAAATTTCTATTATATTTTAGCTATTTTCCAAGGCTGAAGTTTACCACTTGCTTATAGAACCTCAGAAGTGAAGGTTGTAGGGTTAATTTTACCTAGGCCTCACTTATTTTTTTGTGCTTTGCTGAGAAGGGGGAAAGGAATTCAAGCTTCCATTTAATTCGTATCATTACCCTTCAGCCTCTACATTTTTGCCAACCTCATAGAATATAATGAGATTATAATGAATTCAGATAAACTAAAATTTAATTTTCTGAGCTCAGGGTTTAAGAACTATAAATAGGGAAATGATAGTTGGTATAGTCTTTGTGTGAGCACAGGTGGCCTGTGGTATGTCAGGGGAGCTTTCTCCCCTTATCCTAATTAGACATCGGGAAGAAGCCTTATGTTTATTAATTGTACAGACACAATTAAATAGGCGGAGATGATAGAAGCAATATAATTTGAAGCAATTTAGAGAACTTAGGAAGATCATGAAATTAAAATCCATTTAGCCAAAGCTTATTATTATGTACAAACGGCTATGTGAGCAGTAGCAGATAAAAGATGGAAAACACTCAGAAATCAGTAACTCAGGAAGAAACATAAAACAGGACAGCAAATTAAACTTCATCAAGCAGCTGTAATAAATTTTCTAAGCAATGTGGACTGAGTGTGCAGAAGTTATGTACTGAAAAGCAATCATGGAAATAGCATTTCATATTTAGAATGGTGATCACAAAGTTTTAGATTTGGAAGGGGCCTGAGATCACTTCCCTTTGTCTCTAAATTAGTATGGCTGCATATATTCCTCAAGCCTGGCCAATGTATTTCATCATCAGAATTCAAAAAATCTGAATCAACAGGAAAGATTATAAGGAGGAGAGACATCTAAAGCTTCTTCTGCTTGCATTAGAGTCTAGATTCAGAACATGGGCTCTGCTTCTTCCTAAACTTTCCACCCTGTGGTTCATGAGGGAAATCATCTGGAGAAAATAATTCATGTAGCAATTATGGTCTGTATAATTCACCACACAATTAATTGCAGGTGGTGCCAGAAAAGTGCCCAGTAATTGATTAACAAAATCAATGCATGATTTTAAGAGAGGATGTTTTCCAGGTTAAATGGAGGCTTGGCTATATACAAAATAATGCAAGATGTTCAGTAGAAAAATAATTGGTTAGGCTTGTATATGGCCCCATTAACTTAAAAATTCTTTAACTTTTAAATTTTTAAATTATCATGTAGCAAAGTTGACTTTTTTGATGCAATGGTTCTATTAATTTTATGTATTAGCTTTTTAATGATAGATATGTCACTAAAGTTTTGAATGGTATGAGTGACTGGTCTTCCAAGAGAATTCAGTGACTATAGAGGGTTTTTTTATACCTAATTTCTTTAGTTATTCTTCTTAATGCCTTGGTTTCTGATGCAATTTTAGTGGAATTCATCTTGAATGGCTCAAAATGATATAACTAATTATATTTATCTTAAATTATAATTGCTTTTGGTATAGGCTTGCTGGCATGATTTCTAGATGGAATTAAAAGCTGCAATGGTGCAGTCGGCTGATGGTTGTGTGCTGGCTCATTAGCTAAAACTTGCTATTCATTATAGCTTTGGACAGGCTGAATTTGCCTTTTGGTACATCTTGCCCACCCAGTCTGTGGAATTTAATGATATCCGTGTGTGGTGCTAGGCTCATCCTCTAAAAACAAACAGACAAAAACCAAAGTGAAATATTTGTTTGAATGATGTGATAAGCACTTCCAGTGCAAAGAGAACAACCAACTGCAGCAACTTCTATGCGAAGGACCATGGCTTGTTTTGCTCACCTCCTGGAGCCAGCACAGCACTTTGTAGACACTAATAAATGTTGTGTTGTGAGTGAAGTCATTTTCCCTGTGTGCAAGGACAGTACTGTTTGGCTTCAACAATATTCTATGGTAAGTGTCCAACAGTGGCATTATACACATCCTAGGGAGAAAGGGTATGAGCAAAAGGCTGGGCTGAATCCTAAGGGTCAATAAAGAGTTCAGTTAGGGGAGGAGTAGGAGAAATTGTTCCTTGAAAAGACACTAGAAGGGCTGGCAGAGTGGCTAGTAAAGCACTTGCCTAGCAAGTGTGAGGCCCTGAGTTCAAACCCCAGTACTACAAAAAAAAAAAGTTTTAGCCAGGTGCTTGTGGCTCATACCTATAATCCTGGCTACTCAGGAGGCAGAGATTAGGAGGATTGCTGTTCAAAGCCAGCTGGGGCAAATATTTCTGAGAGACCTTATCTCAAAGAAAACCCACCACAAAAAAGGGCTGGTGAAGTGGCTCAAGGTATAGGCCCTGAGTTCAAACTTCAGTAGCACAAAAAAAAAAAAAAAGAAAGAAAAAATATTAGAAGAAATAAGGCAGAAAAATATTACCCAGAAATAGAAGCTCTGAGCATTGTGCCTAGGCCTGAAGCAAAGAGAGCATCACTGAACATTTAAGAAACTTCAGGAGCCAGAAGGTAAAGAGACAAGGGGGAAGAGAGGACAAATTCATGCTAAGCTGAATTTGGTCCTGTGGGCTCTCGGGAACCTGTAAAACACTTTAAACTATTGTGACTTTTAGGAAGGAAACAGCGTGTAGAAATATGAGAACTGATGAGAGACATTTGTCACACAGCACCTGCACAAAGTGCAGGCTGGCCTTTGCCACAGCCCCTTCAGAACCAAAGCCAGAGGAGGAAGAGAGGCCTAGGGAGGAAGTAGGTGGGGGAAGTAAAAGAGAGGAAGAGTTGTTTTTTGGAGTCTTTGTTCCCATTTCCTGGGTGGGAAACAGGAAATGTTTCTTTCTCTTTTTCTCTCCCCTCTCCTTGTTTATACTTTATCCTATTACATTAAAATAAATCCTTGCTAAAGCTTTAAAAAAGAGTTGCTTTTCAAAGGTCTCAAATACATCTTGTGGCTCCTTAGTTACTATTATTATTAATACTGGTATTTGAAAAATTTCATAGGAGAGGACTACTTAGCTGCTACATTTTTGAGAGGACATGAGGTGACATGCCTAATTTTATCTGTGTTTTTACTTTCTCTTACCTGAAGTATTGAATGCCTTTATATGGGTCAGCCTAAAATAATTTAGTTAGGAGATTATTAAAATCCCCATCAAATTCCAGATGCAAAAACTTAGATATCTCCTTCTGAAATTTCTCTCCCCGGCTACTATAACTTTCAGTTTTTCCAAGTTAGTGAAATACGTAAAAACAATTTTATTCAACCTAAGGTCACAGTCTGTCCTTTAGAGGCTTAAAACAAGTGTGTGTGTGTGTGTGAGTGTGTGTGTGTGTGAGTGTGTGCACGTGTGTATGTGGGGGTCCATCAGTGTCCTCTTATCACACTTCTGGGTTGTGCACATTTTAGCAGGTGACAGTAGAGATGTTGCTGATGATGTTTACAGAATTGCAGCTGGGAATCTTTCAGGGAATGTTATTACATAGGAACCATGTAACTTGAGGTCTGCAGCTGCTTTCACAATTCAGACTAATCCTGAGCAGGGGGAACCCTCTATTCTTTCCTGTAAAGAAAGTAAACTTTTAACCCTCAAGTTTCTCAGATCCCATAGCAGTATTAGTAAATGAGTTTTCTTTGATTTAGAGATAAAATGAAATGCCTGACTGTGGATGTGTGGAGAATATTTAAAAGGAAGAGAGAGAAAAACAAGCCCATATGACATATGAGAGTAGTATCTATGGCTAGAATGCTAGTTCTTAAGTGTTACTTTGATTTTTGGATAAAGAGTCATAATTTTTCTTTTTCTTTTATTTTTTTATGGCACTGGAGATCAAACAAGGCCTTGCTGCTTTTTTCTATTAAGGGACATTGTACATAAAATCCTTTGAATTATTAGATGAATTATGAAAACACATGCCTCTGTTCTTATTATCATCATGGCAATTATGAGAACTTACTGTTTTTCAAGATTTGGAAACTTATTCCTTTTAAGCAAAGCTTACCTGGAACACCTCCAACAAACACAGGCTCCCTATGGTCAACTGGCTTTGGATTCAGGGGTCCGACCACATGGTTCACTTCAGAGTCTACATCCAACTGAACCACATTTGAATCTCTAATAACTGAAATATAGGGCAAAGACTGGTCATAAGTGGCACTGAGTGATTAATTTTCACATGGAAGAGACTTATTTATGATAAATTCCACAATAACCCCTACACTTTCTTCCATATCATTAAAACATCAATAATATCTAACCACATCTAACCAAACAATCACTGCAACATTTTCCTTTGAAAGGGAGAATATTTAGGAAACTCTGTACTACTCTTTTACTCCATAAGTTATGCATTATGTAAATAACTCCCCAGCATTATTTTGGCAACATTCATATTTTCAGGTCACATGTGGGTTCAATATACACATTTAAGTATAATAACACTTGATTCTCTTTCTTGGCTACTTCCAGACTCTCATCCTATCTGTCAGATAAGTTGCCAGGCCATCATCCTCCAGGTGCCGTACAGGAAACCCAGACACTCCATTTTTCTTACCTGTTATTCTGTGCCATCTACCATCACAGAGACTCTGCTTGGGTGTTACTGAGGTAGAAAAGTCTCTAATGCCGTTGTTGACTTTCACTAGGACCTGAAAAAAAACAGGGCGCATTGTATAATTTATTTTAATTTCTCCTCAACATGATAAAATTGAATTTCTTAAGTAATTTGCTACAGTATAATTTACTTTTAACAATATCCATACATGATTAACTTCACAATTTGAACACAAGGGGTCACTCTTTGGTCGGTGATAGAACCAGTTTAAACTAGGCATGCTCCTTGCAGAGAACAAAATACTGGAGAACAGAGAAGAATGATAGGAAATATAACAGATGAATCCCTTTAATTTCTAAAGAGAGGGTGTGCTATACAAAGCAGATTAAAATATTGATGTAGAGCATGAACTTGGAAAGCAGACTCACTGGCTCACATTTGTTTGCTTTACTTTCTGCCTCAGTTTTTTCATTTGTAAAATAAGTGCTAATATTAACTCTACATTCTAGAACAACCAGCAGGATTAAATGAATTTTTATTTATGAAGCACATAATAAATAGCATGTAAGGATAAGTTTTTTTTGCAGTGCTGGGAATCCAGCCCAGGGCCTTGAATTACACATGGTAAGTTTTATTACTGTATGGTTTAACAGAGTGTACTAGAACCCAAATAAAAATCAGTTATGTTTGAGACATAATGAAAATATGTCTTACCGAATATTTATTTGAATACCTTTATGAATGTTCTTAGGTAATATTTTAGGGAAAAAGTAATGTTATAATTATATAATAACTTAAAAATTTCTGATAATTGAAAATAACATATGTAAAGATATGTGTATATGTATATCTGATAAACATATAGATATTTAGAAAGGTATTTTTTAATTTTGATAATTGGATATGTTCCTTGCTTCCATTTGCTAAAAATATGCTCTCTTCTAATTTGTTTGTCAAAACTCTTTATGTTGTTATTGATAACTTTTTTCCTTTTTTTTTTGGTAACTTTGCCATATTTTCATGACTCTTGTTCTAATCAAACAATTTTCAAAATATGAATGTGTGCCCAAATATTGCCCAAATTAAAATTTCATGTTACAGCTTTCCTAATTTTTTTCTACTTGGAAAGACTGATGAAATAATTCTATGAAATCAATCTGCTTTAGATCAGAATCTTAGGTTAGATGAGAGACTTAAATTTTCTTAAGATCTGACCTGCCCATTTTTCATGTGGATATTTAGGTATTCCCCATTGACGCTGTGGCCATGGACAAGAGTTCCGGAACTGCTTCTGGGACGGACTTCAAATGCAATTTCAAACTTTAAGCCAATGTTGAAAGACTCATCTGTGGAGAGAAATACTACAAGTTCTCAAGAATAGCAAAAAAAAAAAAAAAAAAAAAAATGTTAACTATGGTGTGATTTTGTAATTATATATTTTTGTATCTAGCTTCAAAAGTTTCATGCATTTCTCAGTGGGTAAGTAGAAAGTGCCATTTTCCACATCCAGCTCACTGTGGAAAGCTCTGTGGGAGACTAAGATAACTAACCCGTTACTCTTTTGGTAGGGCATGGGAGTGGCACAGCACACTAAAAACACTCTGTGCTGTGAGGGTTTAGGGGAGGAGAAGGGAATTCCAACTAGCATCACCATGTACTATTTCAAGAGTGAGAAGTAGGGCAGGGTAATCTGGGCAGAGGATAGAATTTCAACCTGGAACTCTTGGAAAGCCCTGTGAAGGCTAGTGTGCCTGGATGGTCCTGCAAAGGGTTAAGGAAGCATAGTGTGTGTGGAATCACTCCTGGAAGGGCTCCAGTGCTCAAGTATGAAAGTTAGACTTCATTTTGTGGTCACAGAGCAAGGGAGCTGACTTGATGAGATCAGAATTTTAAAATAATTTTTAAACAGGAAACTAACTGGTGCTAGTGTTGAATGTTTCTGAGCATTTAAAAGGAGAAAATGAGAGCAAAAGTTTTTAGAAGCTGCTATTGTGGTGCTACAAGACGATGGTTATTATTTATTCCAAGAGGCTCATTGCAAACCTGGGCATCAAGTGTCCACTTGATATATCTTCTTATAAATCTTTAAAATTTGTCCTGCTTATTGGTTAATGTTCATGCAATAGAAAATAATTGTATAGCTGGCTATGCATTTCAGGCTGCCCCAAACTTTAGAGTTATTATCACTGAAATTCAGTGAGGAATTAAGAAATGTGGGCTGGGTTTGTGACTCATGTAGTAGCATGCTTATGAGGCCCTGAGATCAAACCCCAGTACCACAAAAAAAGGGAAGCAATAAAAAGTGAGTGTAAGTGTTTGAGTAGAAGTAAATGGGGGTGAGGAAGGAAAGGAAAGGAAAGTCATGAGCTAGAGAGATCATCTCTGGTTATTCTATTGCACATGGGTGATTGTTTAAGAACATGTACTTGGCTACATTCTAATTTCTTTATTCGGGCCTTGTACAAAGTACCAAAGTGCCTTGAGAGCAGGGACTGTGGATTTATTCCATTTTCCTATCCTTACACCTAATGCTTGTGCCATAGCATGTTTGTTGGGATGGTTCGGATGGTGGCTGTATGTAGTCTGGTAGCTTTTACTTATTTTTAGAACTATTACATTCCATCATCTGTCACAGGGGCTCCCATCCAGAAGGTATACGATAAAAACTGTTGGATGAATGAGCAAGAAAGTAATGGTTGAGGAGAATTTAAAAAAAAAAAAAAAACAAATAAAATTTCTGTATTTTCTGTAATACAGAAATAAACTCTGTATTATCTGCTGGGGTTGCCAGGCAGGGGACAATGATTCATACGAAAAGGGAGCAGAAGAAGACTCAGGAGCAAGGTGGCCAAGAGCTGACTTAGGTCAGGCCACAGAATAGCACAGGAAGTTCCCAGGAGTCACTATGGTCTGTTTCCAGAAGTTTGACAGCTGTGGAGAAGTTTGGGTCAGGGAGAACAAAGAAGTATGGGAATTGCATGTATGGTTTGGAGCAGTAGAAGGCAGGGCAGTGCTCCTTGTGGAAAGAGGTCATCTTCTAGGACTGAGCATGGCATTATTAAGTTTTAACTCTGGGCCCAATATTCCCTGTTAACCATCCCAAGGAAAAAAGTATTTCATGATTCATGTTTTCAAAGTAAGTCATTTGTCTTAGTCTGTTATAAAAGTTTTCCAAGGATTGGGTGATTTATAAAGCAGTATAAAAAGTATAAAAGTTTTCCAAGGATTGGGTGATTTGTAACAGCAGTAACCAGCCCGGTCCTTTGAGTACGAGAACTCACTCCCTTGAGAAAAGCATTATTGTTTCTTTATAACCTAATAACCTTTTAAGGGCTCCAACACCTCTCAATGCTGTTACACTGAAGAACAAGTCTCAACATGAGTTTAACTGTGGACAAACAATATTCAAACCACAGCAGTCACATTACCTAGAACCACATATCCTCCTTCTGTTGAAAAATACGTTCCTGTTTCCATTGGACCTTCAAAACAAGGGGTTACACTAAATGTCTGAGAAGCAGAGGTGATGGAGGCCCCATTGAGTTGCAGATTGCTGAGACAGCCACTGAAACTGTAGACAGAGTTAATCTGGAAGAAGAAGACATTTCTTAAAATCCATTTTCTCAATATACAGATGTATCGTGGGGAAGCAAATGAGAGGGCCTGAGTCTTGAGAAAAATTAAGTAATTCCTTATTTATTTTATCTATCTGAGTGATCAATACTTTTCTAGGTGGTTGCTTCTTAACTAGCTCTTTGAAGCTGGTGTTTTGTATTTGATACCTTCAGTTTGTAGTAATCTAGCTATGTAAATTTTTCCATCTACCATGACAAAGTAAATTGCAGCTGTGGTTTTCAGATGGACTATTAGAAGTATTAGAGCTTGTTTTCCTTCAAGAATGACAGCTGGGCCCCAAATCACTAATGTTGATGAAAACTAGCAAAGTCCTTAAATCTATCACAGCTAAATAAACAGTAGAAAGCTTGTATTTCTGGCATCATCAGCTGTTATTGTGGTTGAGAGTTTATCATACTACAGAACATGAAACTTGGGTCATGTTAACTGATTTCATACTGTACTTGGAGCTCTTTTAAAAAAGGTGCCATAAAATTGCTTACCTATAATATAATTGTAATGTGAGCCACCTCTTTTATTTTATCTACATATGTAAAAATGTATTACCAACGCTTTGTGCTAAAATCAAATCTGTTATGTTAAGAAAAAGTTAGTCCTTTGATGCATTTCTTTTATTGTTAATATGTTTAAGAGGTACAATTAAAAAATGATGTTTCTTACTAGATTCTCACTTCTAGTGAGGGTACCTATAAATTGCATGTGTGAAAGGAAGAAAAACGGACTTACATAATGGCCTGAAACATTTTTTTCCACTTGAGAATACAATGAAATGACTTGTTTTCTGGTGTTGCTATCTCTTTGCATTAAAAGTATAGGTCCAGAACAAATCAGATCTCCTTGAGCCATAACTTTCATGATAATTTATGCCTCTGAAACTTTTTTCATCTCACTTCTATCTTAAAATCAAAAGATGATTCTTGATTTTGTAGTGCCCCAGGGCAGACAGCCAGCCAGCAGGACATGACTTTGATGTTTTATCTCTAGTAAAACTGCCATTTTACTCTTGCTAAATTTCCTAATCCGTAAAACAAGGGCCTGGATTAAGTGATTTTGTGATTCTAAAGATCAAGGGCTTCACCTTGGCATGCCTGGTTTACCTGGACATTTTTCACAGCCCTTCCAGGAGCCACTCCTCCCAAATAAATGGGACCCTTGATTTTCCAGGCAGCTCCAGTGGGAGGAAGACTTTCTTCTAGGACTCGCAGACCATCAATGATCATTCGGCCACTGCTCTTTTCCCGAATAAATATCACCTGGATGGAGAGAAGGAAAACAGTACTTCTCAGGTACATTCCAGGAAATGTTGTGTTGTCTCTCCTCCGAACCCTGAAATTGCAATGCTGTTCGGAATCTGCAGAAAATTCATAAGAAAGGGGGTCCCATCTCTGAAGGGCAGGACACTCTTTCTCTGTTTAGTAGACTTCTGGTAAAGAAATAGCAGCATTAGAAACTTTATTCTTATTCGATTCTGTTTTGTTCCACAGCATACACCTTTATTATCAATTGTCTCTTTGCTTTATATTCATTGGCTCACCTTGTGTTTTCACCATATATTTCTTTTATTATCATTATTATTATTAGTGTTGTGCTGGGCGGGGTATGCTGTAGCATTTACAAAGGTTTTCTACAATGTATTAAATATATCATACTTGAATTCACTCCTCCACTGCTCTCTTTCACCCCCCTCACCATGTATTTCTGACAGATTGAGAGAATGACTCTCTCATTAAGCTGCAGGCTTAATTTTTGGATGTGACTTATGTTCAGCAGGGTTCTCTATGAAGCGCTTCGCAGTTGACCAACCCACATGTTCTTTTCCTCTCCTTAAACTCCTTATAATTAACTGTAACACATCTTACATTGCTTAATCTTGCTCATTAATAATTTCCAGTATTTAGGTGTGCCCTTGTGATAACCTGTCTTCCAAATTGATTTACTCACTTTTTACCTCCCACAGCTTAGCTTTAAGACATTGAGTAATAATTGTTGAAAATTAAGATCCTATCGGCATCGGGGAAGAAAGCCAAAATCATTACAAACCAAACTCAAGTTTATGTTGATTACCGATCCTTTGGTTAAAATAATTATATTCATCCTATGTATCTTTAAAAAATATGTTTCATGATTTTTTTTTAATAAGGAATTTTACTCAGCAGCAGAATTTTAAAAGGGATATTTCTACTGACACCAATGCTGGAGTTATCAGCATCAGTCCCTTGGACGACGGCAGGTAGTTGCTGATGATGCTGCTTCCTGCCTTTGACTTACATCGTGCCAGTATCCATCATTGTATTTCTCCTGGCTTCTAATCTTCAGTTTCTTGTGGCCAATGTTAAACATGAATACCAAACGACCATGGGCTAAGAACAGAGTCATGAAGTCATTCTCTTCTTGATCCGAGACATAGAAAATCATCCCATGGGAGGAACGAGTTTTCAGGCGAATGGAAAACTGGGCTCTGGTAAGTAAAAAGAATTGTAAAATGAGACTTGGGATAACCTTTAACTTCTCAAAGTAATACAGTGTAAGGAAAAATAAATAAGTAGCTATCTATCTAGACCCAAGCAACATTACTTCTAATGATCCCTTACTATAATGAATGAATATTGAATAAGCATGGCTAGTTCAAACATAATTCTTATCCTCTACTTCCTTATACAACAGGGATTCCGCATTTAAGGAGAGTGTTATTTTAATTTAGGATCTTATCATGTCTTACTTTGAAAATATGGTTGCAACTTAAGCTTATTTATATGGACAAAATAATATTGAGTGAGTGATATGCATACACGAAATTTGTACAGAAATAAGATTCATGTACTATTTAAATTGCAGATTAATTTATTTCCCAGTAAAAATGAATTGATGAATATCACATGTTAAAGCGGCCAACTGGGTAGAAACATGCATGTGAAGAAACCTCTCTAGAACCATAGCTCTAAGTATGAGTAAGAAATATTTGTTAATTTCTAGTGTGATTTCCTTGAAATCCTTCTTGAAGAACACAAAATACTCACTCTGCCTACAAGGTAAGAAACCTAATTTGAAGGCATTAGAAGTTTCTTATTGAACACATTGTCTGCACGAGAGTTTAAAAAAGGTATATAAGACCTATATAAAAATTCTGGGTACTCGAACAATAAAAATGAATCTTCACTAATATTAAGTAACTGGAGACTTTTGAAATACTGAGAAAAAGGGATGGAGTTTAAGACTACAGGAAGACCATAGACATCCAAGTGTATTTGTGTTTTCAGTGTCTTTCCCTAACTAGCAGTTTGGGTGCGTTTCCACTTATAATCAGAAAGTAATTTGTGTGGGAGGGAAAGTGATCTCAAGGTCAGATGATGAGTCATTTGAAACTTGTCCCACCTTCCTTTCCTTGGTTTGCTTTTCTTTTTGATCATACCTGGCAAAGTCCTGGGAGAATGCGATTTTATGTATCTTACATTTGGGGAGAAGTTAGAGAGAATATAATTTCTTGGAAAGCATGACTCATATACTATTTAATATATATTTTGATGATAAAATAATAGTATTATGATGGCACAGAAAGAAAAGATCATAGGAAAAATGATGTGTGGGAAGCCAGGAGGGAGAAAGGCATTAAGTTTCTGGAAATATAGTGTGACGCTTTACTTTTCACCAAAATCTCCTTTTGTGTGCTCAAACTCTTGGCGGCTGTTGGCTGTCCCTCCATATTGGTAGGCGTGCGCTATTGCTCTAGGGCTGTTGGAAAGGTGGCAATGAGAGTCTCTTGGTGCTTTCTGCTCTAGGAATTTCAGACCAACAGGATCCCATGAAGGTGCATCTTTACTTTTCTCTCCCTATAAAAATAGAAAAACATGAAAATAAGGGATAAAAATTATTTACCTGGAACAAAAATAATTTATGATGTCCTCACCACCACTGATAATAATACAAAATAATAAAATGGGTGTTATTTGTGCATTTTCCATTCATGAAATAGTAGTTACCTCTCCTCTCTCCCTCTACCACCATAAGCTCTCATTTGAGAGCAGTAACTTCATCAGTAACAACAATAACGACATAGCATATTAATCCCCCAATTCTAGTCATAAGCAGAGTTAAATTGAATCTAGAGATAATTGCTCCATCATTTAAATCAAGTGCACATCTTAAACAAAATAGGCAAGTTGGCAATCTAATAACCCTGAGAGAATTGATCAGTAATACCCTCATATAGGCAGCAATTGCATGTCAATGCACATTTTTATTTATATACACTGTGTAAAAACTTAAGATACTTAACAACATCTTCAAAAATACTTAAGGATTTCTCTGGGAGTACTGGAATTTGAACTCAGGGCCTTGTGCTTGTTAGACAGACTCTCTGTCACTTGAACTATGCCCCCAGTACATTTTGCTTTATTTATTTTTGGAATAGGATTTTGAGTTTATGCCTGGGCCACCCTGGATCTTGATTCTCTTATTTATATCTCTTGAATAGCTGGGATGACAGGCGTGTGTGCCCAGGTATTGATTGAGATGGGGTCTCATGAACTTTGTGCCTAGCCTGACCTCAAACTTCTGTCCTCCCACTATCAGCTTCCTGAGTGGCTAGGATTATAGGTGTGAGGAACCACACCCAGCCTTAAGGATATTTTTGGTAATAAGTTATGTAGAAAAATTTAAAGTGACAGGATGGATACAGAGTAGCTTGAAAACATTATGTTGTGCTCTTCAAATTGCACTGCTGATGTTAAAATGAAAAATTATGAAACTATACGCTAATAGGTAATGATTATTTAGTCTTAATTTCTGAAGCAAAATAAAGGTAAATGCATATGAATCCAAGCATTTAATCATTTTTTCACTTATTCAAGCAACTAGTTATTGACTACCAGACAGTAAGAAGTGGAGGGAAAGAAATCAATGTCTTTGCATGCCCTCCACAAGTGGTATGTGGTGGAGGACAGAAATGAGAAATGATTCCTGTTTTTCAAGCAGCTGAAAACAAATTTGGATGAACAGGCATATAAATAGCAACTGGAAAACAAGCTGGTGCCAAATAGAAAGGACCTTAGATGGCATGCTAGAAGTTGAGTTTTGTGTTTTAGGTGATGCCAAGTTACAGAAGTTTTAAAAGCAGGGAGTGGCCTGAGCTGACCCTCTCAGGAAGACAGCTTATAATAAAGGAAGGACTGACAGGAGAGAAAATGTTTGGTAGCAGAGAAGACTGGAAAACATAGAGAGAGATAGATGAGACAGGATTAGATAAGTGAAGACAATTTCCAGTTCAGGATTATTGAATAGACACATTTTATTTTCCTTGTCTCTAACTCCCATTGAAGTTTTAGGAGCTACATACTTAAAAAAAAAAACATGACAGTTCTGGAAATCTAGGAAGGTTTCTACTAACACAACACAGTGTAGAATTTTGGATGATACAATGCAGATTGGAACAGAGTGAAGTGAAACTCTTAATCTTCTATTAACAAAACACAAGACCTCCAAAAAATTCAGTGTTGCAGACAAATCCTAGAATTATCCTCAAAATCTGGATATGGTGGCAGGCTAATTAATCAAAGGGCAAATCAGCTGTGCCACTGCCCTGCTCCTGGGGCAGCAGCTCCTCCAGGTTGGGTGCTGGCAGTGGAGACTATTGCAGTTGTGGTTAAGTTGGGGAAAGGGACATGGGGACTCAAAGACTGACAACACATCCCAAAGAATGCCAGCTTGGTTCCACTAACCCCTCTTCCCTCCCTCACAGAGTCCTCAGGGCTCAGAACTTAATTCACTGCTACAGAGGTTTCTCTCTTGGACAAAAGAAATTCATCCAGTTAACAATAATTTTTGGTCAAGGCCCTCACCTACAAGTAACGACCATAGCTTTAAGCCAGGACTGGGATGGAATGGGGCTTCAGAGAGACCATTTCCATCTAAAATGTTGAGATATTTCTTCTAAATCCATGCTGTATTCCAGTCCTAGTGGAATCTTATAATGGGAAGTATGATCACCTCAGTCTGTCTCACCAAGGTGCCCATCTGGAAATGCTTTGCACAGGGCCTGGAGTATAGGGGTGAGTAGGTGTTGAGGACTATCCCCAACTCTGGCTGCTTCCTATTCTCTCCATTTAGCTGGAGGGGGATCTCACGCTTTCCCAATCAGTGCATCCCCTAATGGTGAATTAGACTCCAGGGGCTCAGCAAAACATGGGGTGTTTAGACCATGACAGTCTCAGTTGACCAGGCTTGCTTTATACTGCCTCAGTGTAAGAATGCATAGAGTAGGTAGAATCTGTCTCTTATCTGCTGCAAAATTGAATTAACTCTGATATCTTTCTATATGGCAACCAGATACTCCAAATCCTCTTAATAATTGTCAACAAGAGTTGCAACTTAATCATTTCACTGCTCATGCAATGCAGAAATCTAGTTTACTGTCCTAACGGGTACGTGTGTGGGGAGTCTCACTAAACCACACTAGATTTTGACTTTACCAGTGTAATTTTTTTTCCTGAGGGCCTGTTGTAACCTCACTGTTGAAACCAATTTTGATTTAGCAAGCTTTTTGTTTGTTTGTTTGTTTCCATCTGCATCAGATAATAACCAAGGTAGTTGAGCTACTGAAAAAAAAGAGGACAATGTTTAAAGGACATGAAGATATCTTACACACCCCAAGAGAGGACAGTATAGCAGGATCCCACCAGAGGCCAAAAGCAGGAATTGAAAAGCTAGAAAGAATCATGACCCTCCCTTTGTGGAGGTTTCTGGTATCAGCTTTGTTTCTCTGTGTCTGTTTTCATTCTTCTTTTTTCTCCAGAACAGCTTCTTTCTTTTTGTGTATGACTAACATTGGCTTCTTAGGTTGGTAGGTTTTGTAGTCAATGATCATCTCAGGCTAGTCTCTGGCTTCTTTCAAGGAAGTGATCTTATAGTTTGGCTTAGTTCACATGACCTACACTGATCCAATCAGCTATATTCAGGGAGATGAAGTCATACCCCTAAAACACAGGGCCTGTCTGGTGTAGGGAATCAATTCTCAGAGAAGAGATGGATTGGACACACACCCCACAATGAATTCTACTGCAATATATGAAATGTACATTACTGTATTACAAACCAAATAAGAAAATGCTTTCCCAATTAAATTTGAAACATAAAAATCTATGAAAAATTTAAGCCTGGAACATATTTGGTAAGACAGGTATTCTCAAATAAATTGGGAAATATAAATTAGTGTTACCTTTTTGGAAAGTAATTTGCCTTGATCCAGAAATTCTACCTCTTGAATCTATCCTAAGGATTTATTTAGTGATAAATTCAAATATTTATGTAGAAGGATCCTCACAAATAAAGAGAGCAAACTGGAAACAAGTGAGTCTATTAATGATTAAATGAATAATATATATTAGTGCATAAAATGGAATATTAGGAAATGATTATGAAAATAAATTATTATAATCTCAGTTCTTTAAGGCAGCCTGGATAAAAATTTCAGCCAGAGGCCACAAGCTTTTCTTGATACCTACTGAAGCAACATCTAGCTAGCTTCACATAGCTTGATGTAGTCTGGTAGCTACATTTTCCACTACTGAAAAATGAACAAATAGAAAAAGGCAATGGAGATCAGTAGTACTGGTAAGAGGCAGGAGCCAGGATGCAATATTAAGTTGATGGTCAAGGTGGGTCTCATTAAGTAGACGAGAGTTAAGTGATCCTAGGAGAAGTTGTCTGTGCAGATATTTGGGGGAAGAGCGGAAGTAAAGACAGAAGGAAAGCTTGAATAAAGATCTTAAGATAAGGAGTGCAATGTGGCCTGTTTTAGTAATAGTCAAGAGTGTGGTGTGGAGACAGGAGTGAACAAGGTGGGTAAGTGAGAGGACATGAACTTGAGAGAGAGGGAAAGAGGTGTTGATCACACCTATGAATTGTAGGGACTTGGGCATTTTCTCTGAATATAGTGGGAGGCACTTTGGTTAGAGGAATGACATGATTTGGTTATTTATAAGGGTCTGGATGTTGTTTTGAAAGTAGAAAGTCAGGGAACAAGGTAGAAACTAGGGGACCTTTTGAGACTTATTACACTGATTTGGATGAGAGATGATGGTGAGTTGGGCCAGGATGAGAGCACTGCCGTCTTAGTGCATTATTGAACTTGCACCATGAAAAGGGTGGGAAGTGTTAGACTGAAAGAATGAGAAGGGATTAGTGGTTTCATTACAAATGAAACATTTAACATGTAGGCTAGGGGTAAATGAATGAGAAAGAATAGTAGTCAGAAAATGGAATTTTAGAACTGAAGATTTTGATGAAGGGCAGGTCCAGTTGATGTCCTAGTTTAGCTGTGCACATGAATGGTTGAAGTGCAGGTCAAGGAAGGAGGGTAAAACAAGGGTAAGATCACAAACTTTAACAATTTCCATGATTGTGATAAACCCTGAGATTATCACGTGAAAGCAAAAGATACTAGAGACTTATATAGTACTAAACAATAAATATTACATATACAAAATGTAGTTGGAAGTATAAGTAAATATGTGATTCAATGTGATTTTTGGGAACAAGAATGAATGTAACAAAGCTGCTAAACTGGAATATCTGACAACACAAGAATCCCATCTTTCACATGTGCATAGTTGCAAGTTAGAGTATTCCATAAAGCAACTGCATCTTGAGTTGTGTGCATAGAATATGAGGGTATCAGGAAATTTGCTCTTACCTTTTTATTCTGACTTGTTTTAGGCTTTGAGGAATTTTTTCCCTTTTTATGAAGGAGAAACAATGGTGAAGACTCAATGGGACATTCAAAAAGAGAAGTGTGGACCTTTTCAGAATATCGCTGGAAATCCTCCACCTCCACATCTCTATTCAGCCTGTGTGTGTAATGAGGGAAAATACATCGTTCAGAATTATGTGATGAAAACTCAAGAAGTTAAATTTGTGTGTGTGTATGTGTGTGCTTGGTGTGTACCTATTACTCTCTTATCCAGAATCCTTAAAATTATCATCTAGCCCATTAATTAATGACTGTGTGCCTGGCACCACACATTTTGACCAATGACTATCTTTTTCTCTCAACACACTGTGGATGACTGGGACCATATCTATAGTTTCTTAGTCTGTATTAAATTTCTCCCTTACTTGTCCTCACAATTCATAAGAGACCCTGTGTGATCACTATCCCTTTCCCTCTTGCTTGTTCTTATTCTCAAGGAGCATCTACCACCTTTGTTAAGGACCTAGATCAATGACTTTGTTTAAAGTCATGCACTAAATTAAGAAGACTTTCTTAAACTTTGAACAAGGATTATGGTATGTTTCTTTATATATGTCATTAATAATAAATACAAAAATTGCAACTAATATTTATAGCTTCTTGTATACTATGTGCTGTGCAAGGTGCTTTATGTGTGTTACCTTAGTTATTCCTTAATAAGCCTACCAAGCAGGCACTACAGCTACCTGAATTTTGCAGGTGAAGAAATGAAGGCTTACTAAGTCACAATCATTCAGAAATTAAATGGCAAAAAACTCACACTCAAACCCAAATATGTCAGTTGCTGTAACACATTCAAGCTCTTAGTTATTACCCTTTAATGCCTCCAACAAGTTTCATAGTTCTCAGTTTTAATAATAAAAATATTTTCACTATTGTCTTGATCTTTATAAATCATGCAGATTCATTAATAATAAAAGCATTATACCTGGTAAAGTAGGCATTGCTTATACAACCAGTGAAATTAGCATACTGAGGACTGATGGGTGAGCCACCAAAGTAAAACTTGTTTTCACTTGCTTGAGTCTGATCTGCTTTCCCTTTGGTAGGATTCTTACTCCCAAGTCTGTTTTTGTCTACTATTAGTTCATATCTGCAAAAGAAAAAGCCGTTTCATACACTTGACAGCTACCGTTTTATCCTGAGTTCCGTTCTCTGGTGGATAAACAAGTTTTCTTATGGACGTGAAATGGAACATCTGGTTAATGAAAAGACAGAACTGCAGACTTTTCATGAGGCCCAGGATAAAATGGTTGAATATTTCTATATGTAAGAATAACTCTCCCAATCAATATTGGAATTTAAACCCCTAGGGCAAAAAGTCACATGACTAGCCATCTTTGTTATTATTTGGTGGAGAAAATGACCATTCCTCATAGTGATCATTTAGGAGCATTTGTGGGAGACCATTTTCACTGCAAAGCACATTGGATGGTTTTACCTTTGTTGGAAATGGAGCCCAGGAAAAACCTACTACTGTTTGCTTTTGATGGGCAGGCTCTGTAGAAGACAACACAGAACAGCAGCAGTCTACAATAGAGGTTTCGTCCCTATTTCAAAAGCTTTCTTTTTTTTTTTTATTATTCATATGTGCATACAAGGCTTGGGTCATTTCTCCCCCCTGCCCCCACCCCCTCCCTTACCACCCACTCCGCC